TGTTGGGTGAATAAATCTGGTGCTTATTACTCCATTTGGGCTGGAATTGGAAGTCTAACCAGTTGTTGCTAGCCACATGGATTGTTTGCATGTCAGAAAGTGATAGTTTGAGCATTTTACATATCAACACAGTTTATTGTAACTTACATGTTGGCATTTGACTGTGTTTTAGTTATGTTCTAGAAATTGGTGAGCTGCTTTTGGTTGACACTTAACCCATTTTTTTTTCTCATTTAAAATAATGGGAAATAGGTTCCCGGTTAGCATTTTTATGTAGTATGTCTTATTTCCTGTAATGGATTATTGATGCTAATCGGGAAATGCCTATATTTGGCTTAGACTTTTCTTCTTTCACATGAAAATTCTCTTAGAAGTAGCCTGTCTGGGAGACATGAAGTTTTCAAAGACAAGTGTCTTCTGTCTTTCTTCTCCTTTGTGTATGAATTTCATCTCCCTCAGAATTACCAGATGGAGCATTAGTCATCAAGTCCACATTCCAACAGCTCTTAGCTAAGTCATCCCACTTTTAATAGATTTCTCTAGGAGCCTATCCCATGCTTTTCTCTTACTGTGGTGGATAGGCCAACCATATCTTCAAGAAATGGCATACAAATGTAGTCTTTTCATCAGGCATCTTATTGCCCTGAATAAAACTAGAGTTCTGTTGCTAAGCCATAAGGAGAAAAGGGACATGGATAAGCCATTAGGAGTGCCTGCGAAATTTGACAATGGACATGAATGACAGGCTAGGTATTATGAATGCATTTTGAACATGGATCTATCATAAGGTTTAAAGAAGATTTTTCTGGAAGTGTAGAGCCATGGGTTGTAGAATGGCAGAGGCTGGTGACAGTCTCCTATTTGGTCTCTCCATGACAATAATCCAGGAATGCAGCATTGAAGGCCAACAATGGAACAGATAAAGGAAATTCTTCAAAATACTTATCCAAAGAAGAAACTTTAGGAAGTACTAGGTGGCAGATGGCATATAAAGAGCAAGTAGGGCAAAAAAGAGTGTGTAGCAAAGAAAGACTAGATTATGAAAACTCATGGAGTGTCAGAAAACTCATGGAAGTCACTACTCCACATCTGGTAAGTTGGGTCCTGCCCAGGACTTGAGACAATGACGTCTGCAAAAATGCACTGAAGACTCTCTATTAGCAATAGGACTGTTGAAATAGACTGGCACTAACACATCTGGAGTCTGTGGTGACCCAAGATGGGCAGAGTACAGCTTCATATGTACAGTAATCCCCATCAAAGATGGTCAGCTCATTGAGACCATGAATGTCCAAGCCTTTGTTTCCATGTCCCCACAGGAGTTCCCTCTAGGATAAGGAGCTAATCCTAACCCCCAGCCCTGACGTCCTTAGAGCCTGCCAGCTTCTGTATCCAAAGCCAGTTCTATCTTTTGCCATATCAAAGATATAATAGGAAAATAATAAACATGTTGTAGTAAAAGAGTAAATATCTGGGGTCAGACCAGTCAGGACAGAATTATTGGTCAATATTTTGTCAGTTGGATGACATTGGGTAGGTTACTCTTTTTCTCTGAGCCACATTTACTGATCTGAAAAAGGAGAATAATTATAATAATACCTGCCCAAATACTTTTTTTTTGTGAGACTTAATCATGTTTGTCAAAGAACGTGGCAATTGAAGAGCTCAGACTTTGGCCTTGGCTCAGTCCATTTACTTGATGTATCAACTCTCAAGTTGCTTCACTCCTTTGGGTCTTAATTTCCTTATCTGTCCTTTTACAGAGCTTAAAAACCAGTTTTTGGCATATAATGTCTGCTGAATAAATATTTGTTAAATAAAATTCTGTTGGATCTATAAAACAAAACGTTTCATTTAGATTAGCATTTTCCAAAGTATGTGTTGTGAGACGCTGATGAATTGATAATGCATATTACAAAAACCCGGGAAGATATTGTCATTGGTGACACCCACAAAGCCACCATACCTATTTTTTCCTGTCTTTAAATATCCAAACTATTAATATTTACTTAATAGTATTTTATAGAAGAAGCCACTGTTCATTCGCCTCTTTTGATTTTCAATCAATTCTTGCCACTGCAATCTATTTGGATATAGGGGGACATTGACTTAGCTAAATCATAATTAGTTATTAGTTGATGGCCCTAAATTGGACAGCAATTTTCCTGAAGGCAGGGACTCATCAACCTGTGGGCTTGTCCTTGCCCCTGATGTGGAGTATAATGGGAGCGGGAGACATGCTTGCTCCACAGATGGTTTAATTTGTACACCTGGTAGTCCAGTTGCTCAACCAATTGGCTTCCTTATTGAAATGACAGCTAATTTAAAAGAATAAATGGCTATTTAATAGAATGGGAAACCATTAAACCCAGAACCTTCTAATAAAGACTGATTCTTATGTAAGTCTTATGAAGTGTTAATTACTGGCTCCTGAGAAAAGGGAAGAATGAAATATTGCCCGTGGAGTGCTTGTTGCCTCACTGTGAACTCAGACTCTACCTTGAATAATACTGACAATGCTAATAATAATAAAAATGCTGCTGCTGCTCCTTTATTTTTCAGTTGTACTTTGTGGTTTCAAAACCATGTAAATGTGGAGAAGTAATTGAATACAAAGGAAAGAGAACAGGCTGTGGATTCTGTTAGATCTGGGTTCAAATCCAACCTCTACTGTCTGTGTTCTCAATGCTACCATCTGAAAAATGAGAATAACAATACGTATTATAAATGTTAGGGACTTATTAGAGCCCCCCCCCAAAAAGAATTGAAAATAAGGAAAATAAAAATTGTGTTTGAGAATGAACCTTAAACATCAACACCGTGACTCATTGTCCGATAGTCCTAAAAATACAAAATGGCTGTGAGACCTGGTACCAAATGCAATCAGAATAGCAGCTGCAGTTAGCTATGGAAACATAGCAGAACATTACAAACACAATTGTCCAAATATCAGAAAAGGGAGACAGAGTATGAGCCAACAAATTTCGGATGTTTTCCTGCCCAACAGGATAGACTATACCTAACATAGAAATAAAGATGCAGTAGATTAAAAGCTCCTCACGTCAGAAGGTAGAGTGTATTCCTCCACCCTTGAATACAGGTTTGTCCATGTGACTTGCTTTGGCCAATGGGACACTGGCAAATATGGCACAAGCAAAGGTTTGAACAGTGCTTACAGAGTGAGGCTTGCCTTCTCTTGCTGCTGATATCTTTTCTCATCATGTGAATAAGACTGGAGGATGAGAGCCTACCTGTGGGGAGGCCTCAACTGTTCAGCCATCTGAACCATCACATTTGAGGCCCTGTACGTACGAGTGAGGCTGTCCTAGACCATCTAGCCCCAAACAAGTCTCCCCAAACAAGTCTGTCCTAGACCATCTCCCCAAACAAGGAGAACCACAGAACCACAGCTAACCCACAGCATTATGAAGAATGGTTGTTTGTTGTTTTAAGTCATTGAGTTTTGGGGTAGTTTGTTCTACCACATCAGACACCAGAAGACTTTTTAGCTTTCGGTATTCCAGTCCCAGGGGTGAGGTCATCCACTCTGTATATATGTATATGAATGTATCAGGCAATTTTACGTTGACATCATCAAAGACTCCATTCTCCTCACTTCTCTTACCCTGAGGCCATGCTCGCCAACAAATGTCTAATCATGATCTGGCCTGTCACATAGTTTACCTAGGTGGACAATGGACTGACCACATGAACCCCAAGGATTCCTAGCCCCTGGTAAGGCAATTATTTATGACAAATTAATGACGTGTCTTCTGACCAAGGTTTGGCTTCAGGAGCGTATATCCTATGTCTCTAAACATTTGCTCTCCACTCTTCTCTATCCTGCTCTTTAGTCCAGAAAGTTCATCTGTATAGATTCCTTCAAGGAACAGTCTTGCCTTGTGGCTTCTTATTGGGCTTCCCCAGTGGAAAGCTTTACCTGGAAACTGGAGAGGAGAGTGATTTCAGAGGATTGATCCTTACAGTACCTCCCTCTAAGATTGATTTGGGTAAGCTGAGTTCCTGGACTGAAGATTGCTGCTCCTGTTAAGATAATCCCTTCTCTAAAACTTTCTCTTTGAAACCAATCCTTTCCCTCATCTTTTCAGGCTTAGAGGTAAAAATGGAGCAATTTTTACTCCAGTTCTGCACTATCCTATCTGGTTTCCCTACTCCTGCCCACACTTTTGTAAATAACTCTTTTATTAAGCCTTTTCCCAATTATCCTGATCTCAGCATGCCATCTGTCTCCTGTTGAGCCCTGACTGATACATATGCTAAGCATGTGGGTTTGAGTATCTGGTTTGTCTGATGGTGGTTTCTCTTTGGCTTATGATTTACCCTTGAGAGATGGTTCCACATTCACTGAGCCAATGTAGTCGAGTTTTTAGGCCCACGAGGCTGAGAGTCAGACTGAAATTCACAAAGGTAACAAATTCCTCTAGGAACCAGCCAGCTGGCCTTTTCCCTTCTGGAGTGGAGAACAAGAATTGTACTTGTCTGTATTTCTACAATACCCACTCTTCAAGGTTGCTGTTAGGATTAGATAAAATGCATGCAAATTGCTTTGTGCCTTTGTATCTGCCATCTTGTAAATTCTCAACATGTTAAGAACTGCTGTTATTGTGGGGTTTTTTTTAATTTTTTTTTTAACGTTTATTTATTTTTGAGACAGAGAGAGACAGAGCATGAACGGGGGAGGGTCAGAGAGAGGGAGACACAGAATCCGAAACAGGCTCCAGGCTCTGTCTCAA